ATTGATCCGACATGGGGTCCGCCCCAGTATGCAATCGGTTACATCCTTTGTCTTTTCCTTCTATCCTCCAACTCTCCTTAAGTGGCCAGTCCCTTCTTCGTGGCGGGTCTCCCCTGTCATTCCTGAAGTTTTGTTTTCCTTTTAGTAAAAACCTTAGCCGAGGGAGAATTTAATGGTCGAGTACGGAGACTGTTTTGGCTCCTCTCGGAGGCCTGGCTTTGCAGGAGGACTTCCAAACTGAGGGGGGCGTTCTCCCCATCCTCACGGGGGAGGCGGGTCTGGGAAGGAGCGGGAGAGGAAGCGGGGCTGCGGGCAGGACAGACCCCGGTCCCGCTGTCCAGCCACCGAAGTTCTTGGTCCAGAGGTTTGCGATTCTTTGTCTCTGCGGCGCCTTTCCCACCGCCCCTCACGATGGGAGCCGCGAGGACAGAGCCCGGCCCGGGGCAGGAACCGGTGCCCGCGGGCTAGTGGGGGGTCAGGCTCCGGCGAGGCTGCGGGGTCGGACTTGGGGCGCGTCGGGGCGGGTGGGGGAGGAGCGCAGGGGGGAGGGCGCCGGGCGGGAATTCCACCGCGCCGTCCTGACATCTCACGCCAGCCCCAAAGGAAGCCATGAGCCCAAAGGAAGAAAAAGCAAAATAAATAACCCGCCCCCAGAAACACAGAAGGCAGAAAGCAAACCACGAGGAGAGGCTGCTCTTTGCTCGCTGGGGGGCTGTGGGGTGTAAGGAGAGACTGTGACTGGTACGGACATCAGAACGTGCCGGGGCGGGGATGTCATGGACCTGAAAGGCGGCGGCAGTGTCTTGGGTGGAGGGGGAGCGGGAGGGGATCGCAGGTTTGGGGAGCGGAGGCTCCGGTGCGGGAGGGCGCTGCTCCCCGGGAAGGGCGGCGGGCGGGGAGGGTGCGTGCGCGGGCCCCGCAGAAATGCGCCTCCGGGTCGGCCGTGTCTGTCCCTGCGGTTCCGTCTTTGTCTGAAGCTTTAACTTGTGTTCTACGGAGCTACGTGAATTCTCTTGGCTTCTGAGAAATTGTCCTGAAAAAGTCGTTTGTTTTTATGCCAACAGTGAAGATGAGTGAGAGTTGGTTCTAACAGAGATACTGACTCTAGTTTAGACATAGGTTTTATTTCTTAAAGTAGCAATTTGGACTCGATTTTTAAGCAAAAGAACTGTGAGTGTTGCCAAGGACAATAAAGTGGTGCAGGATGTAAAAGAAAAAGGGCTTTCATGAATATTTTCCCCTCTCAGTGTTTCTCTTGTCACTCCAAGCATTTTAGGGCTAAGCAGGCTAATTTTATGCAAAATAAAGTGTAAGATTTTGGGGTCCTTTCAATATAGAAATAATAGCATTTCATGTATCAATGAGTTATGTAAAAGAACCTCTTCAAATGCGTTATTTAGTGAACAGGATGAAAATGAGAAAGAAAAGAAAAACCTGGATAACTGATGACAGCTATGATCCATACAGATTTCTTGAGCCAGTCTATTTTTAAAAGAGCTTGAACGTATTCAATGGAAATGTTTTTAGAAACCCATTTCAAGTATAAACTCGTTTAGAGCTGCACATTTGGAAAATTTTTATACATGTGTGCTGTTCTTTGGTTTCCCCAAAGTGCATGTAGCTCTAGTTTTATATTCGATTCTGAACAGATTAGGCTGGTGAACCAGAGTGGCACTGATGCCAGATGGTTTGGAAATATGCTAAGGCGGAAAGTATAAGTGTGCTGCACCGTGAACGCTCATTAGTAGGTGTATTTTCTTTATAGCAATTATTTCAATGAATTTGGAGGACAGTCCATAAATGATGCACCAATTATTTCATCTTTGATGATACTTTGAGTTCTTCTAAAAATAAATGTGAATAAAGTTTTGCAGTTTTTAAAAAAATATGTTTTTATTGATGTCAGAGAAGAAGGGAGAGGGAGAGAGAGAGAAACATCGATGATGAGAGAAAATCATTGATCAATCGGCTGCCTCCTGCACATCCCACACTGGGGATCAAGCCTGCAACCCAGGCATGTGCCCTGACTGGGAATCAAACTGTGACCTCCTGGTTTGTAGGCCGATGCTCAACCACTGAGCCACGCTGGCCGGGCAGCAGTTATTTTATTAATGAACTTAATAGCATAGGTAAGGTGGGTTCATTTTGGAGACTTTCTCCCTTTTATATTAAATTTCACATTAAGACTAAAAGGTGATGTTATGATGTATTATACTCTTTTTTTTTTTCGTGTAATGTTGGTTGGGCACAATAATGTGATATTTTGGGACTACTTTGCTTTAAATCAAGCATGTCAAACTCATGGTCCGTGGGCCGTATGCAGCCCACAACAAATATTTTTGTGGCCCAGTCAATATAATGGTATGTAAGATACGTTTTAATAAAAATTTTGTAACTTAATTTTTACAATATCCTATTAAACATAATTATTAATAACAAACTAAAACATTCGCTAATGACTGATGACTATAATTGTGTTGCATTCATTTCCCTTATGCGCCTTACGCACAGGCGCACCATTTCTCTCCACTAATACTAGCAGCAAATATTTTAGCAGCCGATTGCCACGTTATTAGTCTAGTACTGACTTGTTTGGTGTGTACAACAGGAAATATTTCACTTTCAGAGAACAAGGAAAATAGGCTTATTTGCGTTACGCTTATTAATTTGTGCAGCTATTCAGTGTATAATAAGTTAATGTTCAAGAAAAATATTAATTTTTATTAAAATGTTCTATTTATGTTAACAAGTACTCATTTATTTCAGCCCTTTGTATTTATTCAGCATGTCTCTATCGAAATAAAACTACATTTCTATGAAAATTGAAGCTTTTGTTTTTTTGTGGCCCACATAAACTTAAGCCTTGTTTATTTGGCCCGTGTTAGCCTTTGAGTTTGACATGCTTGCTTTAAATTATAGCTTTATTCTTAAATAGAAGTACCTGTAAACTATTAAAATGATAGCAAATGTGGCTGAGGAAATAACCTTTTAATGTACATTGTAGCATTGTGGATTTGGGCTCAAAAGACTATTTGAGCCCTGACCTGTTTGGCTCAGTGGGTAGAACATCGGCCTTCAGACTGAAGGGTCCGGGGATCGATTCTGGTCAAGGGCATGTACCTCGGTTGCAGGCTTAATCCCCTTAGGGGGCATGCAGGAGGCAGCTGATCAGTGTTTCTCATTGATGTTTCTAACTTTCTATTCCTCTCCTTTCCTCTCTGTAAAATCATTAAAATACACTTTTAAAAAAAGAGACTCTAGCCCTAACCGGTTTGGCTCAGTGGATAGAGCATCGGCCTGCGGACTCAAGGGTCCCGGGTTCGATTCCGGTCAAGGGCATGTACCTTGGTTGCGGGCACATCCCCAGTGGGGAGTGTGCAGGAGGCAGCTGATCATTGTTTCTCTCTCATCGATGTGTCTAACTCTCTATCCCTTTCCCTTCCTCTCTGTAAAAAATCAATAAAATATATTTTTTTAAAAAAAGAGACTCTATTTGAATATTGACAGTGTAGTTATGAGTTAGCCAGACTTGCATGACCAAAGCTGCTGATTACTAATCAGGATATATATTTGAGTTTACATTTGGAGGTCTGTATTTTATACAGTTAATTTTTAAAGTAATTATGTAATATTTTTAGGTAGTTGCCATGTTTTGGTCTTAAAGAATACTTAATCTTTGTAGTTTATGTCACCAGTATTCCATAATGTATTTAAGAGTATATGGATGGTCTTATACACCTTTGGTCTAAACAAATATAATGATATACTTTGAAACAGAATTGTATGTGAGCAGTTTAAGAATTACATTTATTCAAGGGAGTTAAAATTGAGCAAATCATAGTTTATGCAAGATTTTTTGTTTTCAGTTTTTAGGTTTAGATTTTTTAAATTGATTTTTTAGGGAGAAAGAAGGAGAGAGAGAGAGAGAGAGAGAGAAACATCATATAAGAGGGAAACATCAATCGCTGCCTCCTCTACGAGATTGGATGGAGCTCACAACCTGGGCATGTGCTCTGACGGGGAATCAACCAGCAACCTTTCCATGCATGGGGGGACGACGCCCAACCAACTGAGCCACACCAGCCAGGGCTAGATTTACATTTTTATTTATTTATTTAATTTTGTTGTTAATCCTTGCCCAAGGATATTTTTCCATTGACTTTTAGGGAGAATGAAAGAGAGAGGGAAAGACAGGAACATCAATGTGAGAGAAACACATCGATTGGTTGCCTCCTGTACAAACCTGGAAGGAACCTGCAACCAAGGTACGTGTCCTTGACCAGAATTGGACCAGGGTCCCTTTGGTCTGCAGGCCGATGCTCTATCCACTGAGCCAAGCCACCTAGGGCTAGACTTAGATATTTTAAAACATCAAAGCTTATCTAAGAAAATTGAAACACTGATGTGGTAGACATATCATATACATACTCAGAATTTTAAATAAAATAACTTGTCAGTCAATTTTAGTGATTCATATTTCCCACAGGATTTCTGATTCTCTTTTTCCCCTTCCTAAAGATCTTTCCCTTTTTGGGTTATTGAGAGGAATGAAAGGAGATAGAAAGATTCTGATGTTTCTAAATATTTCACTCATAACTATGTTTTTCTTCTATATAAGTGTTTCCTTTACCTTTAATATTGTCAAAAAGACATTTTTAAAAATTTTTCTGGGCATGGACCGTACTTGGGAGTGAGGGATGGTGAAAAGAGAACAATTTCTCTTCATTACTATGATAATATTTTTTTATACCAGAGGCTTGTTAGTTCTATGAAATACCCCTTAAAATGTGTTTAGACAAATGATTCTTCTTGAAGGTCAGAGAAAGTATGGATATGTCGGGGTGGGCGGGGTGTAAATTATGATTGATTAATGTCTACTTATTAAAGCCAGCTTATTCTAGCATTGCTTGATATGCTGAAAGGTATGAAATGGAAAATTGATTATTGCCTGGGCTTTTAAAATATGTTATACTGTTTCAACATTTAACAAATTTTAAACAAAGACTTCCTTTGTGCTATAAATTAAAGAAAGTTAATACCTAAATAAAAGTCAGAAAATATAACTGTGGACTTATTAATGCCAGGAAATATTCTAAACACTTTACATGTGTTATTTCTTTCAGTCCTCAAAGCAACCCTATTAAATAGGTACTATTAGAAGATACTGGGTATTAGAGAGAATTGTTCTAAAGTAATCCCAGTTTCAGGAACTGAAATAACATCAGGCAAGTATGCTTTTCATCCAGAACTAGTGAGCAGCTCATTTGTTGCTCCTCTAGTTGCCTGGTGCCTTCTCATGTCTTGGCAGCTATTCTCAAGAGACTCCCATTCGGTAAAACATCTTGCAATTACTGTGTGATTTAAGAGTGGATTCAAATAGGTCACCAATTTCCTATAACATTAATAATTCATTTTGGAAAATAACCTCCCCTCTTTGGCAGCTGTTTCCTATCTTCTCTCGTTGACATCCTGTAGTGGATGGCTAAGGAGAGGTGGAACAAGGAGATACCAGGGAAGAAACTGGAATCCCAGGCTGCAGGGGTAACAGGATGCTCCATTGCACTTAGCAGGAAAATGCTATTTTGCTTTTCATGAAAATAGTGTAACTATTCAGTCCAAGCTTTAACTTTACCTAGAAGTATTTTACTAAAGGATTAGTGGGTTTACATTATTTCTTTTTTAAATATATATTTTTATTGATCTCAGAGAGGAAGGGAGAAGGAGAGATAGAAACAGCAGTGAGAGAGAATCATTGATCTGCCTCCTGCATGCCCCCCACTGGGGATTGAGCCTGCCACCCAGGCATGTGCCCTGACCAGGAATTGAACCGTGACCTCCTAGTTCATAGACGCTCAACCACTGGGCCACACTTGCCAGACTGTATTATTTCTTGACTTAAGAGGGCTCTTTGTAAACTTGTATATAATAATAGCAAGAATCAAAGGATAAGGCATTTGGGGGAAATCATCTTCCTAAATATTCATTCACTATGGTTACAGAGCTTCAGTGCTTAAAGAAACAACAAAAATGATTCAACCCTTCAAAAGCCTTATTTCCTGTTATTTAATAAACAGAAGCAATTACAGCTTTTATTAAATTTTCGTGATTGGCTTAACTCTGAGTAATATACCACATTTGGACACAAATCTGAGTTTTCAGAGAATGATTTCGCTCTGGCTGGTTTGGCTCAGTGGATGGAGCATGGGCCTGTGGACTGAAGGGTCCATACCTCAGTTATAGGCTGGATACCCGGCCCTCGTCCAGACCAAGGGGGAGGCAACCTATCAATGTATCTTTCTCATATCATGTTTCTCTCTGTGTGTCTCTCCCCCTTGCTTCCACTCCTAAAATAAATGGAAAATATCCTCTAGTGAGGATTGACAAAGACAATAAACAATAACGGAGAGAGACGATTTCCAGTGTGTTTTTACAATATAATGTTTCACAATGCATTGATTAAAAAGCCATTTGGTCTGTAGCTTTCTTGCAAAAATGACATAGTTAAACGCCAGTCATTCTATTAGATACTGCATGTTTAGGAGTACCAGTGGTTTATTTAAGTAATACTGACTTATTGCCAGCATTAATAACCCACTTCATTCCACTTAATACACAGTAAATTAGGATGCAGATATTTGCCAAATATCTATGTTTATGTGTAAACATAGAAACATATACCTCTTTTCAACTCTTAGTTTAAGTTGGCTTTCATAACTTTTGAAATGGAAAATTGATTATTGCCCGGGCTTTTAAAATATTTTATACTGTTTCAACATTTAACAAATTTTAAACCTTTCAGCATAACAAGCAGTGCTAGAATAAACTGGCTTTAATGAGTAGGCATTAATCTTAATTTACCACACCCCCCCCCACATAACTTTTGTGTGGTAAATTTTTACAATTCCCAATTTCTTAATCTTAGCTTTCCTATTATATTCTGCATATATTCACATTTTGAACATTTTTATTGAAAACAGTATCATAGTGACTTGGTTGTTTTACATAATATAGAATTTTTTAAAGTGTAGTTTTCAATTTTTGTGTTTCTTACTAATATTGGATTTGGCATTTAGATAATTCTTTTAAAGTTTCTATGAGGAAATTTTTCTTCAAAGTTACAGTTATTTTTTAAAAAGCCAAGGCATAAACTTTAAAATTTCCTAAGACTGCATCATCATCTCTAGAATAATAAAGTGATATTACTTTTTTTGTAGGAGATGGCAGATAGGTACTTTGGACCTGTTGGTAATGATGGCCTGAGCTAAACACCTAATTTGAAGGGACACCCTCCGTGTCAGAGCACAGAATGCTGAGGAAGCTATGGCAAGTATGTGTTCCGATGTTTTGATAACGTAAAACTCAGGTACTGAATGTGCACCCTTTAGATCCCATGACACTCTCTTTGGTTCAAGTTTTAAAAGCTTTTTTTAAATGAACACAGATATATTCCTAACACTTTTGTAAGAAATGTACGTTCAAACTTGAAAAATATAGGAAGATTGGCTGCTTCAATTTTAATGGAAACAGCATCATACGTCATAATACATCTATGTGCTATATTTATAATTGATTTTTAATTGATATTTGCTGAAATCCTTTGTTTCAGGCACTATCTCAGGTGCTATGGTAACAGTGGTAACAAGACAAATGAAGGTTATGAGGGCAGAGACATTTCGTGTGGGGAAATTGATCCAGAAATGTTACTGTTTTTTTGCCTATATCCAGAAAAATGCTTCATGAACAACTCCTGAAAATATATTTTCAATACATAGTCTAGTAATAATAGTTAACTTATTATGATAAAATTAAGATATTAAAAATTAAATAATATAGGTTAAACATACCCTTATTTAAATATTCAAATAGATTTTTACATAATTACATGTATATTTTATTTACCTGATATATATTGCTTTTATAAGAAGCATTAGATTACATAGTATATTGTTTGAAATATTTATACTTTAGTTCAATTGTTATTTTAGATGATTCCTGAAAGTACTAAGAAAGCTTACATAACCATTAATATGGTGGTTTGCTTTTAATTTTAAAAATTGAGTTCTTACAAGTTGACATTACCAATCTAATTTCTATTATATTTCAAAATATTTTAAAAAATTGAATGATTATATCCTAAGGGAAATAGGTAACAACTACTATATTTTCTCCAGGGGAGAGGTAACAGACAGATGAATGGTTTTTCAGCCTCTTGATGATAATCTCACTTGGAATCAAGAATAGCATTCTTGTGTTAGACTGTGTGTTAGACTGGCTTTGAAAGACTTAACACACCTCCTTGAGAAAAGAAGGGGAAAGCTATTTCAGCAGAAAATTATTTTTGGATCATACAAACTTAAGTAATAAAGATAGGAGATTTCATTATAGTTCTAGTTTCTATATCACTCTCAATATGTTACATACCTACTGACATCCCAGGAGAAGGCAGCAAGCCAGGATGTTAGTGTCCTGGAGACCTTTCAAAAAGACATTTCACTCCTCAAATCTGGGGGCAGAGCTTGCCAGAGAAATCTGTCCAGCTTGGATTCTTCCTTTAATCGTTAGCAGTATTAAGGTCAGCTTTCTCAGGTGGAAAAAAACAGGAAAGAGGATAGAGTTACTAAACCTTTAAGCCTTAATTAGCATTAACAAAGGGATCTTCTGAAATTAGATTATCTTTGGCCATAATTTCTTAGATGCTTTCATTTTTGTCATGTTCATTCCTGTCTATATTCATCTTAATACTTAAATTTTGATTGTCTTGAGACCACTTTGGAAATTTACTTAATAATTCTAGGTTACAGAAATTTTAAAAAACATTTGTGTGGGTACAAATTTGGGTTGTCAAATTTCTCATTTAATTTTAAAAAATAATTGCTGTTCCTGAATATTTTTACATTTTAGCTTTAAAAAATGCCTAAAGTGTGTAAAGGCTAAACTATTTTTTGTTTGTTTTTTATTAAAAAATATCCTCTTAGACTTTTTTTTTTTTAACATGGTAGATATCCTTTTTTAAAATTTGATCCCATTATTCTTTGTTCCTAGTATTATTTCAGGCATTTTGTGATTTTGATGGATTTCTGACTTCTGGTTTGAATACAAACATGTAAAAATAAGTATTTTCAGCTGGCTAAACAGAACTCTGACTCAAAGAGGGAGAAGTGAAACTAAGTAAAATACAGAGTTCAAAAATTTTTCACTGTATGTATGAATATTTAGTCCAAAGGATTCTCAGTTTGTGTACTTTAGCCACCCTAAGAACAGTTTTATTAAGTTGGTACTAGGTCAAAACTAACATGATCCTTAAAAATTATAGTTATCTTCTAAATGTTCTTATTTGACCCAGAATTGGTATAAAAAACAAAGTTTGTTTTTATTCACATAAAATTTTACCAAACTAACATGCTTTTGTGGCTAACTAGGCCAATAAACTGCTATCTGTTAATCATTTAATTTGAAGTATAAGACAGCCAAAAAAATAGAGGCTTGGAAAATTCAGTGTAGCTATGACTCTGCTTAATTATAAACAACGTTGGACTTTTTTTTTTTTTTTTTAGTACTAAGTATAAAATTTGAAACAATCCACTCACTTTTTATAGTGCATACCATTGACAACTTATATTTTAAACTCTTTAAAAATGTAACACCATTAAAATATAGTTTTCTCTTGGAACAGAAATAATGATTCCAAGTTCAAATTTGCATTTGCTTTCTTGTAAAGACTAATGCTTTGAATGAATTTATCTCCCTTGTTTCAGTCTTACATAGACCACATATTTAGATATACACTGTTCATGCATAAAACTGATTTGTTACAACAGAATTATGGATGTTGGTAATTATTTGTTGAATATTCATTGCGCTATTTTATTAGGTAGGATGTTTGATAATCAAGAATGTTTTAATATTTTAATGACTGGTAATCTTATTAGTAAGGATTTTACCATTGAAAGTAATCTACCATAAAGCAAGCACAGTTGTTTTTTATAGCTCCTCTGTAAATGAGTGTTTAGTGAAGTAAAATGTATGTTATAATATACAATACAGATATATTTTAAAGGTGGGTTTTTTTCAGCAAATATTATTGGGGCCTTGATAGGCACTGTGCTGGGCCCTGGGGAGAGCTAAACAAACATTCTTTCTGACCATGTAAGAAGAATTGCTATTAGAATTGTCTAAAAGTTTTATACTGTGATGAAATAAATTTTGCTTTTATTAAATGCTTTTCTGGAGAGAAACTTTTGTTGTGATAATTTTGACGAGTTTAGGATCATGAATTGATTAAGGAGCAGCTTACCCTCAGGAAAAGAGCCAGGATGCAGCTAGGACCATGGAAATTGGCTTGGCCCAGATCTACACCCTGGAGATTATGGGTGCTCTTGGGGGTTCTTAGAACCAGTCTGACTTCCAGACCTGGGGCCGGAACTCCAAAAAATATCTGGAATACACCTGAATGCTATACAGAAATGACCACAGAAGTACTTTAATTTATTTGCAATTTTAAGGCCTTAAAACCATTGTTTGTCATATTTTATACAACTAAAGCAATGTTATAACAATATTAAAGAAAACTTGTAAATACCATACACAAATTTTACCTGTTTCATGAAAATTTTATTTTTTTATATTCTCTAGTCTTTGTCCACATGTAAATGGATAATTTTTTATATTTCTTAACTACTCTTTTGATTATCATTTTTAAAATATATTTTTATTGATTTCAGAGAGGAAGGGAGAGGGAGAGAGAGATAGACACATCAATGATGAGAAAGAATCATTGATTGGCTGCCTTCTGCACACCCCCTACTGGGGATCGAGCCCACAACCGGGGCATGTGCCCTTGACTGGAATTGAATCCGGGACCCTTCAGTACCCAGGCCCACACTCTATACACTGAGCCAAACCAGCTAGGGCTTGATTATCATTTTTAATGGTAGTGTAATGATTGATCAATTATTTTTTCACATATTTCTCTACTGAAAGGTTAACTGAAAATAGTTTTCAAACATAATTATATTTATGATGCTGGGTGCTTTTAGCACATAATTTTTCCTTTATTGGCAGACTTCACTTTAATTGTGTTTTAATTGCAAAGCCACTTCACTACTCAGTTGTGCAACTGAACTCTAACCCCCTTTAACAGGTAAATAGTGCAAGGTTCCCCAAATTGATGTCACGTTCTGTTTCCAGTTAACCTTCAAATAGAGGATAAGATGTCTGTCAGCTAACAGTGATTTCTGTATGGCAATTTCCCTGTCCCAGCCCTACTGCACTTTAATAATAAAGGAGATGAATTGGAATCACACCATAGAATTGCTTATTCTGTATTTTTACCCCTTCTCTGCTTTTTCATTTCATTTGTGTGGTTTGTCAGCTGATTAAGGAGAGAGAGAGAGAGAGAGAGAGAGAGAGAGAGAGAGAGAGAGAAAGAAGAAGGGAATCGAACCTGAGACCCTTCAGTCCGCAGGCTGACACTCTATCCATTGAGCCAAATCGGCTAGGGCAGGAATTCCCTGTTTTTAATGACAAAAAAAAAAAAAAAATCAAACAGCTATGTTAACACTTGGAACAAAATAGTGGTGTCCCTATTGAATTGAATAGGGGAAGATGGCATTAGCTTAGTTTATATCATTTAGTTAGGAAATAGTTTACAATTTCAGATTTCTTTATATTCCCTTAGAAATCAAAGAAATTTTATAGAAAAAGAAAGAATGACAGCTTTGTGAATAGAGAATTGGATTATTGTCACTACAGTTATTACTAATTGTAATAATTGGAACTCAGGGAACAAGGGGCATTTAGTACAACTTTCCATCTGCTGCTTAGATCCATCAAAGGAATTGTAGTGTGTATTTGAATAATCTCAGTGAGGAGGTTCTTACCACCTTCAAAAGCAGGGCATTCTCTCTTTGGACAGCTCTGTTTCCTAAAAATGTTTCTCTCTTTCCTGAGTCAGTGTATCTCCTCATAGAGAACTGGTTTTGCTTTATAATCTTTGAAATAAACTTTTTCTCCTCAGTTCAGCTAGGACATGGATCATGCTAGTAAATGAATAGTTCCAATTTGTGGTAAAGAATAAGACCCCTTACTCATTTTATTCATTTTTTATTTCTTGTAGACTTCAGAAACCCATCAACTTTAACTGATTTAGCATCAAAATTTTGAAACATTTAAATGTATTTGTATGAATATAATACACTTTTTCTTGATGATTTAAGATCATTCTTATGAATTTCAGGTACTGTTCTCTCTGGTGATGCCCTCATGGCATGTGGAGTTTTGTAGGACTGTTTTCCTATTCATTCTTATTCAGTTAATAAACATTTAGTGAGTCCCCACTTCCTGGCTTCTTAGATGCAAAGAGGATATAGAAATGAATGAGATTGCCAAGACACCTCGGGAGAACTTTAGGTTAAAGATATAAAGTTTATTGGTTTCATCCAGAGTTTCAGGGGCTTTGTTATATCTCAACTAGAGGTCCGGTGCACGACATTCGTGCACTCAGGGGTGGGGAGAGGGGTCCCTCAGTCTGGCCTGCGCCTTCTCACAGTCAGGGAGCCCTTAGGGCTTCTGGCTGAACAGTGCTCCCCCTGTGGGAGTGCACTGACCACCAGGGGGATACTCCTGTGTTGAGTGTCTGCCCCTGGTGGTCAGTGCGCATCATAATGACTGGTCGTTTTGCCATTCGGTCAATTTGCGTATTACCCTTTTATTATATAGGATAAAGCTATCACTTAAAAAAAGAAGAAATAATGAAACACACATCTATAATGAGGACTATGTTGTGGGACAGAAATGTAATATTTCTCTACTACAACATAGTCAATACTAGACTAGAAAATAAACCAGGGAGGAGGGTGAACTATAAGGCAAACAGAGAGATCATCCCACCAAGTGCACAAACATGTGCTCTGGTATAAGGGTCGGCCTGCATGGAGGGTCCCTGGCACAGCAATCATTTCTGCTGGGCTTAAAGCATATAGAAATCAGAGTCAGGAGATTGAAGGAGGGGCCAGGTTGTGAAGGGAGCTCTGTGTGGCTTCAGGAGTTTGGACTTTATTCTTTCATAGATTTTAAGTCAGAAGACTGATATGATTAGCTGTGTTTTATAAATTCTAGTAGCACTGTGGAAAATGATTAAGAATAGTGTTTCTAAAACTTTGATCATACATATTGTATCTTTGCTTCTTTGCCATACTTGGGCATGCTTTTGGGATGATGAGAAAGACCAGTAGGACCAGGCATAACTGATGGATTGAATTTCTTATACACTTAATGGCCATAGTCTCTGAGTATCTGTGACTGCTTTTTATAGTTTTAAAGCTTCTTCCTTGTTAACAGATTATCATTTCACATTGGTAATACTCTTGGCAAAGCAAACTTGTTCTCCAACATCCCTTCCAATATATAGCTAGCTGAAAAATCCAAATAAGCCTGTGGGCTGACCCATGAATATAGTACATGACCTTCAGTGAGTTGGTTTGGAGACATCTATTTTAATCCTTAGAGGACTTTTTTTCCTGGTTTTGATCTCATTTTAGATCTTTATAACTGAGCTATCCAACAACTTCATATAAGTGAAATATAACTGTAATTTGTTTAAAAGATCATAATCACTCAATAAAAACATTTTTAAATTTATTTTAATGTAGGTGATTGGAGTTGTGCTTCAAAAATTTCAGCACTTCAACAATATTTTATCTGCCAACAATAAATTCTTTACTTGATTGCACCATGAAAAAGCTGCTAATGAGACTTGTTGAGCATAAAAACGGACCTGAAGAACCAAAAGCCATTGTTTTCAAATGAAGAATACTGAATAGTTTTAAGCCTCAGTGCTTTTTAATCACCACTGAGATTTCCCCCATAACATCAGAATGGCAAGCAGGCGAAAATCAACAACACCCTGCATGGTCCTTGCCAGTGAACAGGATCCAGACCTCGAGTTGATATCAGATTTGGATGAAGGGCCTCCTGTACTCACGCCTGTAGAAAACAGCAGAGCAGAGAGCATGTCGAGTGAGGAAGAAGTTCATGAATCTGTGGATTCTGACAATCAGCAAAATAAAAAAGTTGAAGGTGGTTATGAATGTAAATATTGTACTTTTCAAACTCCAGACCTAAATATGTTTACTTTTCATGTGGATTCAGAACATCCCAACATAGTGCTAAATTCCTCCTACGTTTGTGTCGAATGTAATTTTCTCACCAAAAGGTATGATGCACTTTCTGAGCATAATCTGAGGCACCACCCAGGAGAAGAGAATTTTAGGTTGACTATGGTGAAACGAAATAACCAGACAATCTTTGAACAAACTATAAACGATCTGACTTTTGATGGTAGTTTTGTTAAAGAGGAGAACTCAGAGCCCGCTGAATCTACAGACGTTTCTTCTTCAGGAATTCCTATCAGTAAAACTCCCATCATGAAAATGATGAAAAATAAAGTGGAGAACAAGCGTATTACAGTTCATCATAACTCAGTTGAGGATGTTCCTGAAGAGAAAGAGAAGGAGATCAAACCAGACCACGAAGAAAGTGTGGAAAGTCCTAGTTCTTCAGCTTCTGACTCTAATACCAGTACTTCCATTGTCAACAGAATACACCCAAATGCTGCCAGCACGGTAGTCACCCCGGCAGCAGTTCTTCCTGGACTAGCACAGGTGATAACCGCTGTGTCAGCTCAGCAGAATTCCAATTTGATTCCCAAAGTCTTAATTCCTGTTAGTAGCATTCCTACCTACAATGTTGCATTGGATAACAACCCCCTTTTGCTTAACACCTACAAAAAATTCCCTTATCCAACCATGTCAGAAATTACTGTTCTTTCCGCTCAAGCAAAATATACAGAGGAACAGATCAAGATATGGTTTTCAGCCCAACGTCTAAAACATGGTGTGAGCTGGACTCCTGAGGAAGTAGAGGAGGCAAGAAGAAAGCAATTCAATGGAACAGTACACACTGTACCTCAGACCATAACTGTTATTCCAACACACATTTCCACAGGGAGTAATGGCTTACCATCCATTTTACAGACATGCCAAATAGTTGGTCAGCCAGGCCTGGTTCTTACACAAGTAGCTGGAACAAACACCTTGCCGGTAACAGCACCGATAGCCTTGACAGTGGCAGGGGTGCCAAATCAAAGCAGTGTACAGAAAAGTCAGGCCCCTGCTGCTCAGCCTCCTGCAGAAACAAAACCAGCAGCAGTAGCCGCCGCCGCCGCCGCAGCCGCAGCAGCAGCAGCAGCAGCAGTCCCAGCAGCAGTCCCAGCAGCAGTCCCAGCAGCAGTCCCAACAGCAGTCCCAACTTCTCAGCCTGTCAAACACGAAACTGCACTGGCAAACCCCGATTCATTTGGCATTCGGGCAAAAAAGACTAAAGAGCAACTGGCAGAATTAAAAGTCAGCTACCTTAAAAATCAGTTTCCTCATGACTCAGAAATTAGCAGACTTATGAAAATCACAGGCTTGACAAAAGGAGAGATTAAAAAATGGTTTAGTGACACGAGGTACAACCAGAGAAATTCAAAGAGTAATCAGTGCTTACATCTCAACAATGATTCCTCCACTCCCATTATTATAGACTCCAGTGATGAAACCACGGAATCCCCAACTGCTGTTACTTCACAGCATAAACAATCCTGGAATCCTTTCCCCGACTTTACTCCCCAAAAGTTTAAAGAGAAGACAGCAGAGCAGCTCCAGGCCCTTCAGGCCAGTTTTCTCAGCAACTCCGTACTGACAGATGAAGAATTAAATAGGTTAAGAGCGCAAACCAAACTGACCAGGAGAGAAATTGATGCTTGGTTTACAGAGAAGAAGAAATCAAAAGCTTTAAAGGAAGAGAAAATGGAAGTAGATGAAACTAATGCAGGTAGTTCCAAAGAAGAAGCGGGAGAAACTTCTCCTGGAGATGAATCTGGTGCACCTAAGGCAGGGAGTGCAGGCAAGATATGTAAAAAAACACCTGAGCAATTGCACATGCTCAAAAGCGCATTTGTCCGAACCCAGTGGCCGTCACCAGAAGAGTATGACAAGTTGGCCAAAGAAAGCGGGCTTGCTAGACCAGACATAGTTAGTTGGTTTGGGGACACCCGTTATGCTTGGAAAAATGGAAACTTAAAATGGTACTACTACTATCAAAGCTCCAATTCAAGTGGTATGAATGGTCTGTCTTCCCTTAGGAGAAGGGGGAGAGGGAGACCCAAAGGAAGGGGAAGAGGAAGGCCGCGCGGGCGGCCTAGAGGAGGCAAGAGAATGAACAACTGGGACAGGGGGGCGTCACTCATAAAATTTAAAACTGGAACTGCAATACTTAAGGATTATTACCTGAAGCACAAATTTCTTAATGAGCAAGACCTGGACGAACTTGTTAACAAATCACACATGGGCTATGAGCAGGTCAGAGAGTGGTTTGCCGAAAGACAGAGAAGATCAGAGTTAGGTATAGAGTTATTTGAGGAAAATGAGGAGGAAGATGAAGTTATTGATGATCAGGAAGAGGATGAAGAAGAAACAGATGATAGTGACACCTGGGAACCCCCACAACATGTGAAGCGGAAGCTCTCTAAATCAGATGACTGAAATGTAAGTTTTTAATCCAAGCATACATTTATCAACCACACACATTTAGAACATCCACCTGGTATCTGTCATCTCCACTTTTGATAGTTTTTTTCTTAAATAGTTTTTCTTTTACCTAATAAGAGAACTAGGTACTACAAGTATAGCCAAGAAATATATGATTAGCATGTATAGTCTGATGATTATGATTGTTCTGTTTAATATGTAGAGTTTAATGTTTTTTACTTTGTTTTAAGGGAAAGTTACCCGTTTTCTAAGAAGGGAGACTGGTGGGTCTGAGGGAATTCACAAATACTAAAGATAACTAAAATGTAGTTTTTGTAACCCTCCTTCACTAAAGCTTCATTTTTTGCCTATTTAAGGAAAGAATTAAAAAACAAAAACTAAAAAGAAGGGGGAAAGTATACTGAAGGAAAGACTTGCCACAGGGGTGAGGATTGCTCAGTTTCAGAAAACTAGGTGAAAATGGTATCTTTTTCTTTCATTGTATTACCCCCAAAACTATTAGATTTTTAACTAAAGTTTAAAATGCTTTATGTATTAAAAATAACTCAATATTTTTTCTATTAAAAGCCAAAGGTCTATTTTAGGCCATATATAAGTTCCATGTTTACTTGGGTGGCATCTGTTTTTAAAAACTGTAATATAAATTATTTCTGTTTTAGAGATCAAAAGGTAAACAACAAATTTGATATTAAATTAACTCAATTGCCTAAAATGTCTTTTCATTCTTTGATATAAAACAAACCTGCTACCAGCAAAAATGCTGTATTTAGTAAAAAATATCTCTCTGTAGTCATAAAAGTGCAAGTAAATATGCTTTAAATGTAAAGGTTTGGCATATTCCTTAAATCTTCATTCTTTTATAGGTTGGATTAATTAAAACGTCACTGTAGTAGCAAATCACATATCTGGTTTGAGTTAGGACTTCAATTCTTACTACTTTTGGAATTCAGTAGCATTGTTCTATTCTTTACTCTCAGTTTTTGAGCGTTCCAGGATAAAACTATACTTTTCAAAAAACAATGCAGTTGTCATGAAATGTTTGTATATGTCTATCAGTAGTCCAAAAGCATCTTGTTATCTGAAATTACTGCAGTGTTGTCAGACTGTAAGGGAGGAAACAAGGCATAGACTCTTATGATCATATGAGCATATTTATGTATTTCCTTAGCTTTTTGCATCCCTATCCCAGCCTCTACTTTTATCCTCTCTTTTTCTGCACAGTATCTCCTTCATTCCCCCAGGTCTTCCTTCATGGTTTTATTTGTTTTGTTATAACAATTGCTTATAGAGAGCTATGTCCCAGACACTATTCTTACTGTTTAGCAATCCTTTTCCAAGTTTTCTTTTCATGAACATTTTTTTTCAGGCAGAGAAAAAGATGACACTAAAAATGCACCTACTTTTGAATAAATCTCACTCAGGTTATAGAACAAACTGTATTGTAGGTTACAAGAAGTTAAATAGTTTTGTACAGCTTTATCCTGAGGCAGTCCTCCATTTCCTAATGTCGGAACTCTTCAGGACAGGCTTTCTTCTGACCCAGATGCATAAAATATTTTTAACAGGCTTTTTTTTTATTGCTAGACACAAGAATGTGCACTCAGCCAAGATTAAAACAACAAAATTTTTGCCGCAATGAATTGTTGTTGTAGTAACCTCTGCAGTGATTTTTTGGGGGATTGCAGTCTTCTAAAACTAATGTGAACTTTTATATAATTTAGTTTGACCTTACTTTAAGTTTGTGTGGATAATTCTTATATTAATACTTAAATAGGTACTATGATTAAAAAATTTACACAAAGCCACAGTTTTCAAAAATTGTGTCATATATGTTTTATGTGTACTTTTGTGGTACATATACAAACTTGCCTTGCTCTTAAAATATGCAAAAGTCTCAAATTATAAAGACATTAATCAACAAAATTATTGGCTTAAGTTAAGTTTTTATCCTACAAAAGAATTCACCTTAAGTTTCCTCTCAATAGTTACTTTTTCATTTAAATATAGTTCAACTTACGAAAAAAAGGAACCAAAACCTTTCCAAAATAGTTATTGCAAAAAGTGAGATACAGTAGTACCCCCTTATCCTTCCGGGATATGTTCCAAGACCCTCAGTGGATGCCTGAAACCGCAGATAGTACCAAGCCCCTTATAAACTACTAGAGGCCCGGTGCACAAAAATTTGTGCACTCGGGGGGGAGGGGGAGTCCCTCAGCCCGGCCTGTGCCCGCTTGCAGTCTGGGACCCCTCAGGAGATAACGACCTGCTGGCTTAGGCCTGCTCCTGGGTGGCAGAGGGCAGGCCCAATCCCTAGGTGCAGCCCCTGGTCGGGCTCAGAGCAGGGCCGATTGGGGAGTTGGGGCGCCGCCCCCTGTCATGCACAGAGCAGGGCGGATTGGGAGGTTGCGATGCCACCCTCAGTCACGCTCAGGGTAGGGCCGATTGGGGGGTTGGGGCACCGCCCCCTGTAACACTCAAGGCAGGGTTGATGGGGAGGTTGCGGCACCACCCCCTGTCACGCACAGAGCAGGGCCAATCAGGGGGTTGGGGCGCTGCCCCCTGTCACACACAGGGCAGGGCCCATCAGGGGGGTTGGGGCTCCGTACCCTGTCATGCACAGAGCAGGGCCGATCAGGGGGTTGAGGAGCTCCCCCGTGTCACGCACAGAGCAGGGCCCATCAGGGGGTTGGGGAGCTCCCCCCTGTCACTCACAGAGTAGGGCCGATAGGGGAGTTAGGGCACCGCCCCCTGTCACACACACAGCAGGGCGGATCAGGGGGTTGGGGTGCCGCCCTCTATCACCCACAGAGCAGGGCCGATCAGGGGGTTGGGGCGCCGCCACTCTCACACTCAGGGCAGGGCCGATGGGGAGGTTATGGCTCTACCCCGGCACACACAGACCAGGGCCCGTGGGCGGGGGGGGCGGTTGGAGCGCCGCCCTCTATCACCCACAGAGCAGGGCCGATCAGGGGGTTGGGGCGCTGCACCCTGTCACACACAGAGCTGCAGGTCGATCAGGGGGTTGGGGCGCCGCACCCTGTCACACACAGAGCCGCAGGGCGATCAGGGGGTTGGGGAGCTCCCCCCTATCAGGCACAGAGCAGGGCTGATCAGGGGGTTGGGGGCGCCCTTCCCCTGTCACGAACAGAGCAGGGCGGATAGGGAGGTTGTGGCCCCGCCCCCTGTCACACACAGAGCCACAGGGCGATCAGGGGGTTTGGGCGCTGCCCCCTGTCACACTGATCCCGGTGCCGGGAGTCCTCGCGGCTCCGCTGATCCCGGTGCTGAAAGGCATATTACCCTTTTACTATATAGGATAGAGGCCTGGTGCATGGGTAGGGGCTGGCTGGTTTGCCCTGAAGGGTGTCCTGGATCAGGGTGGGGGTCCCCACTGGGGTGCCTGGCCAGCCTGGATGAGGGGATGATGGCTGTTTGCAGCTGGTCACACACCCTTCAGGGTGGGGGTCCCCACTGGGGTGCCTGGCCAGTCTGGGTGAGGGTCTGAGGGCTGCTTTCAGGCTGGCGGTTGTTGACTGAAGCTCCCAACCGCTCCTTTTTTTCTTTTTCTTTTTTATTCTGGGCCAAGGCCTGCTCACAATATTATAATATATAATATTATATATATAATATATAATATTATATATTATAATATATAATATTATAGTTATAATATTATAACTAATATTATAACTATAATATTAGTTATAATATTTATTAGTGTAGATATTATAATTGTTCTATTTTATTAGTTATTATTGTTAATCTCTTACTGTGCCTAATTTATAAATTAGATTTTATCATAAGTACGTACATATAGGAAAAAACATCCTATCTAATAAAAGAGAAACGTGGTAATTAGCGTACAACCGCTACCCTTCCCATTGGCTAATCCGGGCAATATGCAAATTAACTGTCAGCCAAGATGGCGGCCGGCAGCCAGGCAGCTGGAAGCGAACATGAGGCTTGCTTGCTTCAGTGACTGCAGACTCCAACGTTCCCCGCCTGCCTTGCCGGCCTCTGAGCTGGCAGTTTGAAACATTGTAACAAATATAGAAGCTAAACAAAACCCCAGAAACCAGCTTTCAGCTGGCGGGATCTCAGAGCTGAAGTTATACATTGTTTCGATTATAGAATGAAAACAAACCAGATACCGGCTTTCAGCAGCGGAAGCCTCAGAGCTAGAGCCAGAGCTAAAGCTGGCCCAGAATAAAAAAAAAAAAAGAAAGAAAAAAAGGAGCGGTTGGGAGCTTCAGTCAACAACCGCCAGCCTGAAAGCAGCCCTCAGACCCTCACCCAGACTGGCCAGGCACCCCAGTGGGGACCCCCACCCTGAAGGGTGTGTGACCAGCTGCAAACAGCCATCATCCCCTCATCCAGGCTGGCCAGGCACCCCAGTGGGGACCCCCACCCTGATCCAGGACACCCTTCAGGGCAAACCAGCCGGCCCCCAGGCCTCTATCCTATATAGTAAAAGGGTAATATGCCTTTCAGCACCGGGATCAGCGGAGCCGCGAGGCCTCCCGGCACCGGGATCAGTGTGACAGGGGGCAGCGCCCAAACCCCCTGATCGCCCTGCGGCTATGTGTGTGACAGGGTGAGGCGCCCCAACCCCCTCTCCTCCTCCTCACAGGCCCTGCTCTGTGTGTGACAGGGTAGAGCCATAACCTCCCCATCGGACCTGCCCTGAGTGTGAGAGTGGCGGTGCCCCAACCCCCTGATCGGCCCTGCTCTGTGGGTGATAGAGGGCGGCGCCCCAACCCCCTGATCCGCCCTGCTGTGTGTGTGACAGGGGGCGGTGCCCTAACTCCCCTATCGGCCCTACTCTGTGCGTGACAGGGGGGAGCTCCCCAACCCCCTGATGGGCCCTGCTCTGTGCGTGACAGGGTACGGAGCCCCAACCCCCCTGATGGGCCCTGCTCTGTGCGTGACAGGGGGCAGCGCCCCAACCCCCTGATTGGCCCTGCTCTGTGCGTGACAGGGGGTGGCGCCGCAACATCCCCATCGACCCTGCCTTGAGTGTGATAGGGGGCGGTGCCCCAAACCCCCAATCAGCCCTACCCTGAGTGTGACTGAGGGTGGCATCGCAACCTCCCAATCCGCCCTGCTCTGTGCATGACAGGGGGCAGCGCCCCACCTCCCCAATCGGCCCTGCTCTGAGCCCGACCAGGGGCTGCACCTAGGGATTGGGCCTGCCCTCTGCCACCCAGGAGCAGGCCTAAGCCAGCAGGTCGTTATCTCCCGAGGGGTCCCAGACTGTGAGAGGGCACAGGCCGGGCTGAGGGACACCCCCTTCCCCCCCCCCCCCCCCGAGTGCACAAATTTTTTGTGCACCGGGCCTCTAGTCCTATATAATAAAAAGCCTAATATGCTATGTGTCCCGGTCGGCTGGTCAGCCGTTCAACCCAATCAAAGCGTA